AGAGAACAGTATGGAGAATATGCATTCTGATGTTAGGGTGTAAAGGGTTGAATACTTACAATGTCGTTGACCAAGAAAGTGCTAAAGTGAGAGTTAATCGCGCGTAGAACACTTAACTCTTTAACTCCCAAGATCTCATCAGTAATTCTCCTTACTATCTACCATACGATTGTTATGATGTAAATTTGGAGAATTTGGCATTGGAACAACTAATAATCCCCTAATTGATATTTTACTTCATTCTCATCACTTCTATGCGTGCTATTGTATTGATATTGTAAGGAGAAATTCTCTCTTGGTCACTCATGGGAGCTAAAGGGTTAACTAAAATCGGAACTTGTTAGTAACTACTCTGACTGTAGAGAAATGGTAATTATGGCAAAATGAGGCAAATTATTCGAGTTTCATTTCTACTGGTATATTTCTGACCCAAATACACAATTAGGCTTCAAGTGAAGTCTGTTAATCAAAGGGTGGGTCCTTGCGTGTTAGTGCAATTTTCTATGGAAGCAGATTCAATTACCCGTGCATGTCCTCAAAATGGCCTTTTTTATCCTTTGTTTTATTTGACAGCGCGATCTGCGCAAAGAAATACCAGAAAAATTGTCACTTCTGCAGCCTTTGCGGTTTTAAAACCTCGTTTCTTATCGCATCAAAGCAGACTTGTGTAAGCTATCTTGGTGCATTAATTTAATAGTATAATCAAGCATATACCGCCATAGCTTTATTAGCTTTGATTATTGATAAAGCTAACAAGGATATATGATAGAGATATACATCCATGCAAAGACTAAGCCACATCGAGATAAACAGATAAGCAGACATTATTTGGCACTCAATCACCGTCGGATACTTCTCACGGGTGGAAACCTTGGCGACTGTCTTGTTAACATTGTCATTTACTAGATGCGGATTGAAAACGTAAAGCTCTTACATGGGTCCTAAGAACTGGTGTCTCCTTACAAGAAGAGGATTTCGAAAGATTAGCTTTGGTGCAATTGTAATCGTGTAAGCATGAAAGAGCCTTCTGCAGTGGAATGAATTATTCTAACACGATGCATCACAGTAGTATTACCCAAATTAGAGATAAGAGATAATTTATTTACGCACCTCATCCAGTTTTCTCTAACTTTGCAGCTTTTTTTTTTTTTCTAACGCATATTTTCTTCTCTCAGGGCAAACTACAGCTCCGAGGAAAGCAAGGCAGCTTGACGAATTCTTCGATATCCCAGGTTATAGAGTTGATTTTAACGTTATTAAACACGCAGCGTAAGAAACAAAAACAGCTTGAGTCATGGCTTATTACCGAACGGATTTAAAGGGTGATGAAAAGCGAATTTCCATATGCCAGTTAAAAACTTTAAATACTTGGAGCGAATCGTAACGGCTTTCAGACGAGACAACCGTTTTAACAGTTGGGGCTTTCGCCAGGTATAATTGTTCGACACTGGAATTGATTGACAGTCAAAAAGCGTTTTTCCACGGGAAGAACTGATATTCCTGGTAACTCCACCAATCCCTTGGAAATATTTATTGAATCTGTTGATGAACCCTTTAACTCCTAAGATCTGACTGTTAATTCTCCCCTCTAGCTTTCCTCAGAATTAGTTCTGAGAATTTGGTGTTAGATCAAGGTAATTACTTCCGCCTGATAGTTTTGAGTCTTCTCCTTACCTGTATGCAGGAAAATGTATAGATATGGTGGGGAGAAATTACATGCTAATCACTTCTGGGAGTTAAAGGGTTTAAGTGTATCCTTTCAAAAGTGTCACTTTTAATGAAAACAGCTATAATTGTTTGTTTCCGATGTGGTTATATACTTGCAGTCGGTATACTTTTTAAGTTGAAAAATAGGCCATTTTACAGTCGTGTACTTAGTCGTCAAGCCTTTGATTTGAGTGAAGCTGAAGTTGACTATGTTGTGATAGAGACCAGTATCTAGTTAGCATGACAACAAAGTAATTTACATTTGAAAAGCAGCAAGGTTTGTATCATGAAAAGGTCACCCATAGCTTCACTCCTGTTCAAAGGCTTGGCAACCAAGCACACAACTGTAAAATGAACTATTGGGACCCATTGTGCTGATTAAATTAAAATCATTCCTATTTTTTTTTTCGTTTTTTCAGGATCATGTCCACAAGGTTGGATAGGACACAAGGGATCTTGTTATTTACCTTATGTTAACGGAAAGACTTGGCAAGAAGCAAACGGAACTTGTCGTGAAATGGACTCGCACTTGGCCTTATCCAGGAGCGCCACAGAAAACAGATTTATAGCCGAACAAGTTGCCAGACCAGAAGCTCGCGTCTGGATTGGTCTGAAACGGAACCGGGGCGAGTTTTTCTGGAGTGATGGTACCAAATCTGAGTTTACAAACTGGGCTAAGCGGGAGCCTAAAGATGCCTCGGTTACAGGCAGAGATTGTGTAACTCTACTTTCCGAGGACATTTTCCACTCGTGGGAAGTAAGAGATTGTGAGGAAAGACAGTCGTTCATCTGCGAGAGAGGTGAGATTACTCCGGCATCAGTGTTAGTGTAGATGAAAGTTGAGGGTTCAGTTGTTCAAACGGCAGATGAGGCTATCCAACGTGTGAATGTAAGTCCAGTTGATTAGTGTTATCAAAACGTACCACGGTTTTCACCGGATAGGGATTTATCTACTGGTTAGCGTTCTTCCACTTTCGAATAACTTAGGCCAAACGTCTTTTGCGACACGTAAGACTTACATCTACGTGTACACTTGCGAATGCAGCATGGAAGGACGAGTAATGCTCTGTATTCCAAATACTGTTTTGTGGGATTATGTCTGTCGATAATAATTTTTTTTTTGGTTTCATTAAGTTATGATAATGTTACTTGTTTGTTTCATAGAACGAATGTTCCTGGGGTCAAAATATCTTTGAATACTGAACCGGCTTAACAGCCTCGTTTCACTGTAATGTTATTAGTGTTCACAAACTGTCGAGAGACCTCAATCTCTGAGAGTACTTCAGAGATTGTATTGGCTAAAATAACACGTAGGGGCGTGTAGTACTTACTACTACAACTCCTTGCCTTTTATGAAAAATCGGATTCATCCATGAATACTATTCATGAATGATGACGGTAATAAAGTTGATGCGAGTGGAAAAACTAATCGAAAAAGCGAAGTGTATCGTATATATAAAATATCATCCAAGCAATAGAGGAATAATGATTTGCCGAACAAACGAAAGAAATGAACAGTGGGTTAATTTTTGGGTTTGTAAAGGTATTGACAAGTTTGATTGATGTTAAACGCTTTTGTACTCCTCCTATTAGCACAAACAAATTATAAGAGTTGAAAGATTATGTTCGGCCGCTTACCTATCATCTCAATTTGATAAGCATGTGTATGAGAAGACATGCTTGATTCGTCGAATTTCGAACTTGAAGGTTACATGACTTTCTGGATGAGCTCGCATAATAATGTAGGCGTAAAAATGAGAAAAGATTATAATAAGAGAAGTAGCAAAAAAGAATCTTTGAACGGTTTTTCTTCCGGCAATCGACCTTTGAACCAAATGCTTCACTTTCGTTTAGATTTATCAACAATGTACGACATCTGATATCTATTTCAATCGACCATAAAAATGGATCGAGAGTTCAAAGTTTGTTTTCTCCTGATTGGTTAGTAAAAGATTTGACCATCCAATATCACAGCCTGTCATTTCAATACATGTGCCGCACGTACCAAGCGTAATCAGCATTTCTAAAGGACTGTCGTTTAACAGCGATCGTCATCGTTTCTTGCCGAATCCATTCTCGTGTGTGTTACAGTGGACGGTCTGGTTAGTTTGGCTCCCGGAAACAAATCAGAATAATACTTAGTCGTTAATGCTTTAAGAACATCTTAAATTTCTCCGACATTCCACGAGACAGGTAGCGCTTAACGTAGCTTAATCGACGAAGTTCGTGTCAAGAGAATGTCCACGAGTTCATGTAGTGGGTCCGACCACACCTTATTCTTTTGTTCGATGTTTCGTTGCAACTTGTTCACAATCTGTCAGACGTTTCGCATTGCATCTATGACTGCGACAAAATTTAGACCTAATCAGAAGGTGCGAACGGGTTGGATTCTTGTCAATTTTCTTATAACGACAATAGTCTGACTTTAAGAGTCGTCAATTTTTGAAATAACGACTTTTTTTTTTCAAGCGTCAGCAACGTCTTAAAAGAGGGCCGGTCAGCTGTGACTCACGCGTTCGTATTTAACCATGTAATGATTCCACCTTTTTACCCTCTCTTCTTCTCTACTTTTTATTTCTGTCATTTAATTCACCACGTCCATTTTCACATTGATGCTCTTCACGTGTTGTCATTCACTTATGAGATATTTTTTTCTTTTAAAAAGTATATGCTTCGATGCAATTGCTTTTGAAATAGAAAATGTAATAGGTTAGCCGTTGGAGTCTCATGAAGTTATGGCAGCTGACTTTCTGGAAAAGCGAACTGAGACAACTTACGACGCTGAAAGCACGAATAAATTTTCTGATGAGCTCAACAAAGAAATGACAGATGAAACAGGTTGTTTCAATTTTTTAACTTACGAACAAAAATTTGATGAGCTTCAATCAGATTCTGCGGATTTTGTGACTACACCACGAGGCAAGGCGATAGCACCAAATTCTGGGGCAACAAAGGAATTAAGGACGTCATCAACAGAAAAGTCCGAGACTCGACGCGTGACTGTTTCGATAAATACTCACGATGTTCCTGAATGACCTGCACATACCGAGTCGGTTGATGGTGCAACCAAGGATGGAAACACGTGCTCGAAGGGCTTCCAGGATCGCTCTCTAAATGGAAAGTGTATGCTGGTGGACAGCGCGACTTGTTGTGCTTGTAACCAAGGAATGGAAAACTGGTATGCAAAATGTCGAAGAAAACAATAAGTTAACCGTAACTTTTATTTCCTCCATCCTTTTAGTATAGGTGGTGTCTCGTTTTGTCCACAACGGCTTGTTCTTGACTCTGGAGTCCCTAGAATTTTTGCGTGAATTTTTTTAGTTCTTTGCCATTCATTTGTTGAACAGAAGACCTCTGAAATTGAATATCATTTTTAATGCATGAAAAGCTGTTTATGCCCCCTCAGTCCAATACAAAGCAGTGAGTTAACTTTTTCTGACGTGCTGTCTTTTCTTTTCGTGTCAGTGGTACAGGTTTATCCACGATCGGCCCCCAGACCAAAAAGCCATGGAATCTATTATTTGAAAAGTATAAATGAACATTCAAACACGCTTGGAAGGAGCCATAAAAACCCAACAATTAATAATTAGAGAACTTTGCGATAAATGTTATGTAGCGTATAGTTTCGAACAAACTGATACAAACTGTAAAGCCTTTTGCGAAACACTCGTTACATGATATGTGTAAATGACATCCCCTGTCATGTGATGCTTTTTTGTAGATTACGTTCTCCTCTGCCTTTTGCAGACATTACTGAATGTGAGAACGGATTCAAAGATTGCCATGGCAACTTATCCTGCGTCAATGTGCCAGGAAGCTTTTATTGTCATTGTCAAGAAGGATTTGCTGGAAGAGGAAAGCACTGCGAAGGTTAGAACCACGAAAAAAACAACAAACCTAAACTGTATTTGATAGTGGATGTGAAATATGATTTGGGGCTGTAACAACCCCGTAAACTCCGAAGATGTGAAAGTTTACCCCTATAGGCCTTAGACTGTGGCGTTTTTTTGCTACCCTCTGACCTGAGGAGGGAAGTTCTCACTTGGCGCTATATGTTTAAAGTTTTGCCTTTAGTAATAGTACTTTAGGCTGTGCGAGGAGATCTGCCTAATTTTCTTGCTAGCTTCCACATTTTTCTGTATGGATAGATTTTCTGTGGCGCGAAAGTCTCTGTAAGGAGAAAAAAATGAACCAAAAAGCGTTGAGGCTCTCAACATTTCAGTTCAGTGACACCTCTCCTTTAGTAGCGTGATACCAAGACAACCTTTTTCTTCAAGCATTGTGCCTGAAAAGGTTAGGCCAAGCAAACGACGACAAGATTGTCTTCATTTATTTTTCTCAAATTTTCTAACTACGTTTAATTTAAGAATTTGTTCATGCTTATCGTGCGTATATCGAGTTATGGATGCACGCGGAAAGTTTGGAGAGCACGAAAAATGCGTGAGAGTAGCTCGAGGCGCATCCGTAACCGATAACTGTGAATGGAAAGCTCAAAATTTACGGAGAAAATGGAGAAAATCAAAGCTAAATGAACTCGTGTCACTAAAAAATGTTTTAAAAGTCAAAGACCCGAAGTTATCAAGGGTTTTGATTGTTCAAAATAATATTTACGCTGCCGTGCACGGTGCAATTGGAGAAGACAGACTGAAGGTAATTTTCAAAAAAATGCTCACGTCATCTTATTTACGCACGGGCGTGCTTAAATAAAGATTTTGTTCATAGCGGCTCGATAGGACTTATATAGGGCAAGCACACGCGTTATGTCATAAATGAAAATGGTCTTTTGTGTCAGCGACACAGGTCCAGGTCAGTTTTTAGATATGGATCGACTAATAATTGATGATCTCAATACAGCAAACGGTGACCCATGAGTGATTACTTAAGTTTTGGATATATGTTTGTTTTTTTCCTTCTGTCACGAGACCAACTGCACTAGTAGGACATGTTCTTTAAACTGGTACAATTTGCAATTATAGGCCCATCGAAGTTCCTTTGCAGACGAAGTCAATCAACAGCAATTGAACGAATTCAATCGCGCTGATCATGCCTATGAGGAAGTAATAATGTTATATCAACAGACATTTTCCGGATCTGTCATGTTGAAAAATTTTTAGTTTGCGTGTTCGTCAGCTTGTCAACAACACTGACGTTTTGGAAGACCTCATGTGCGATACACGGATTACGGAGATATTTTCATAAATCCGAGATTTTGAGACGCCTATGTGTTATTTGGTATCTGCGTCGGCTCTTGCACTTAATACTTTTCATCTGCTTATGAACAGAGACAATAAAGTCGCTTATCTTCTTTTTCTTCTCATCCTCAGATGTAAACGAATGCGCCGGTCAAAAGTCGACTGGGACGTCGAATCGGTACGTTTTCGTATATCTGCAAGGAAGGGTATCATGGAGTTAGCAAAATATGTTGCCGCAGCTGCATGGAAAATCATTGTGACACCTGCTAACATAAACATAAGAATTCTGCATGGAGCAATAGGTATCGTTTTCTGAAAAATCCACGCTTTGCTCAAGCACTTGTCAGGGGAGCCTTTTGAAGCATAGGTATGGCTGTGAACGTACATGTAAGCATAAGAGCTCCTTTTGGAACAATGATCCACCTCTGAAGATAGATGATTAGCTCCCGGATGCTTTTACTGTCTTTCCACCTGCACTTTAAGTTATGAAATTATAATTTTACCTTTCCAGGGACTCTGCTTGGATCTGGAGGAAAATGTTTACCAGGAAAACATTTCAAAATTATCGCCTACAAAATTCGAATCAGTTGTACTTTCTTAAGGAAAATCTCATCCATATCATTTTTTCCTTCCGTTCTACTCCGTGTGTCCTGGGTTTGGAGGAGCGCATTTACATGGAAAATGGCTCAAAGTTTTCTCCTCCAAATCCGAATCAGCCGTACTTTCTTAAAAATTCATCTCATCTCTTTCTTTTTTTCCTCTCTTTCTTTTCCTTCCTTTCTGTTTATTTTTATTTTGTTTTATTTTTCTCCTCAACCACTATGCCCATAATCAATGGAGGCGATAACCCTCCGACCATAGACGTTGCTGTTGGCCGGCCTTTTGCCTTAATGAATTGAACGAACAGTTCTGCTCCGTAGAAACGTGAAGCAGCCAGCTAAGATTACGATAGAAGAGAGCCCCTTTACCACACTTTTTGGCCTCGTTTCAGCGTTATCTGTGCTGTCTTTATCCTCCATAAATCGGTTAGTTGAAAGAGATAGTGAGAGAGAAAAAAAATTTGAAAACAGAAGATGAAATCTAAGTAGCTAAACCTGCTTTTAATAATCTATGTACAGATCACATTAAAAGCATTAAAGGCCTGTAAAATGTCTTTATCATCTGGAATGCCTTGGGAAGAACTTCCAAGTTCTGTTCGTTTCATGGAAGACGAAACTTACCATTGGATCTCATCAAGACCTCGAAAACTAGTTAAAACTCAAATATATATCAAAATGGACAAATTCTTGATGACAGCAGTTTTTAATATTATATTCCGAGGTCCTAAATCGCGAACAATGCGCGATAAACTGAACTAAATTTATCACTCACGGTATACTTGAAATTGCTCTCTACCACAATTCTGATATGTTTGCCTGAGCCTTAAGTTACCTCTGTGTTGATGACCTCGTTATCCAAAAATAACCATTTACTGCGACGTTGTTTTGGTAAGAAGGTTCAATAGATTTATTGAAACTAGTGCCGCTTTCTGTATTTTGCTGTGTTGTGAAAGGTCACTCATTCTCCTGTATATTTTGACAACTGCACGACTACAACTCTCAGGATTTCCTTCATGGCTGTTCTGACATGTTTTTATATTGCTTCGGTATGATCAGGGAACTCATATCTGTGATGTGATTTGGAGTTGTTTTTAATTTAGGAACAGACAAAACAAAGCTGATATTAAGTTCCCGAGATTAAATACTAAAATTTGATGACACTTCTTGACACTCGAAGCTTGCCACAGGCGCATAAGCTGACAAGTATTGTTAAGTTGATACTCAGAGATTTAAGTTTATTTGAAGGCTTGTATAAGCACGCCTCTTTTCCTTAACGAGATGGTCCGGAAAGAGAAGGCTGTAGATACATACATGTGATCCCATCAACCCCACAAGTGTTTGGTTAACATTTTCTCCTCACCTCATAAACAACTTTTGATAATACACAAATTTATCAGCCAAAGTCATCCTCATCAAACCTCCTCAACCAATTTCTAACACATGTCCAGCAGCCGAGAGGGAAAATTGCATATCAGATCTCGGGTGTCAATTGGTGAAGGTATCACGTACAGCCAAGCCTCCTACACAGGGATTTCTTGACACCAATGGTAGAAGTGGTTAACCTTTTAAACCTTGATGTTCATTCAGCAGTAGAATTTGGTGGACATATGGTAGACTTCAGAACTCCTTGCTGCGCCGGTCAAAAAGCAGTTCTTGTGCAGACGTCATAAAAATGTCGTAATATATTAATAAATTCTTTGAATCACGTCAACTCAGGAACTGCATGCATGTAACATATACCTCACCATTCTTCAACACGATCACTTTCATTGGGCGACCATCTGGTGAATAACAGTGTTGTATCTCAGTCAAATGATGTTTGAAAATGCCTCTCTTAGAATACCAGTGCTCACATTTTGAGCGCAACTGCGATCACTTACGTGGCCAGAAATTTGACATTTTTTCGTCAACAGTAAGCTAATACCAGCATTCCAGAAAAACAATTGATGTTCTTTCCTTTTTACTCCATGAATTTAAACCATCGACCATTCTGAATTTCACGAAAAAGTTGCAATTTTGTTTAAACAAACTGTATCAAAAACGAAGAGTATTGATTGAATAGTGCTTTACATGGTATTGCTAATTTTATTATTACACTTTCTCTACAAGAAACTGTTTTCTTTGCCTTATTCTATATATCTATTGTAATATGGCAATAAATAGTAATAATTCGTAGATCCATGTAGTTTTCCTCGTAACGATGAAAACTGAATGCATTCACCTTAGCAACCTCCTTCCTCAAGCAGCCATCCTCGCCTGTACTTTAGCTGGTCGCTTAACCCTTTAACTCCCAAGATCTCATTAGTAATTCTACTTACTGTCTGCCATATAGTTCTCGTGATGTTAGTTTGGAGAATTTGGTATTGAATCAACTAATAATCCCCTAATTAATATTTTTCTTTATTCTCGTCACTTGTCTGCTTCATGTTGTATCGATACTATAAGGAGAAATTCTGTCTTGGTCACTCATGGGAGTTAAGGGATTAAGAGAAAGTTGACTGTATTTATTTGATTATGTAATTGCATATTCATTTACGTACTGTTCCTTAACTTATAGCTGTTAGCTTATTATGTATTTTTAGGACTCGTTTAAATGACAAGAATAACATAACGAATATGTACTCTATTGTACTAATCCTGTGCTGCTTCAATTTGGAAGGATTTTGACGAATTCTGGGAAGTTGCCTTCACTTTGCCAGATTTTTCGCGAACTTTACGCTCTTCTTTGTAGACCAAGACGAATGTTCGACAGAGTTTGGAAACTGTACAGTAAACGCCAAGTGTATAAATACAGAGGGATCTTTCTACTGTGAATGTAACAATGGATATGTTGGAAATGGAAGTACTTGCGAAGGTATTGCTCATGATGTGTCAACCTCACTGATGACTGAAAGACGCTCCGGTTGTCTGGATAGCTAGCCAGCTGATTGGTGGACTGGCTGACCGACCAACTGGTTGACTGACTGACTTGCTCACTGACCAACTGGTCGACTGACTGGAGACTGACGGCTGACCCATTCGCTGACTCATGCACTGACTGGCTGATTTGCTGCTGGCTGTCTGGCAAGCTGGTTGATTTTTTCTACACGACTGAATTATTGACTAAAGACGAACTTTTTTTTTTTTAATTTGTAGATATTGACGAATGTAACTTACCTGGAACCAGTGTCTGCGACTCCAACGCCGGATGTAATAATACTGACGGTTCTTTTATCTGCTCATGTAACAGAGGCTTCACTGGTGATGGCTTAAACTGCGCAGGTAACCTTCTCTCGACTTTAGCACTTAAACTCCCCCAAACCAGGACAATGCGAGTGGTGTGCATCGTTTTGCTCACATTAAGATTGTTTAACCCATTCACTACCATGGAAGACCTAAAGGAATTTCTTCTTTCAATGATAATTAACAAATATTTAAAAATATATATAAACTTAATGATATTATTTGATTTAATACTAAATTCTCAGAGATAAAATCATTAAAAATATGTGACAATTTGTATGTGGTAGGTTCCTAGGTCTCCAGTGCCATAGGGGCGCACCAGTTGCCAGTTAGCTTTAAGCCTCATCAGATAACTACCAGCTTTTATTACTCCAATCTCATTAGCCGTTAATCAGCTGGTAAAAAGCTAACAGAGAAATTATTCTCGTTTAGATGTAAACGAGTGCACAGAGGGCAGTTTTGAATGTCTATCCGGAGCCGAGTGTGTGAACACCGAAGGATCCTACGCGTGTCAGTGCAGGCCGGGTTTATCTGGAGATGGAGGAAACTGTACAGGTGTGTATAACATCCTTACTGAAGCAGGATTGACTAGCCCCTGTAGTTAGATCCCCATACCTTGAAGTAAAACGACATCTTTCAGAAGCCACAATTTTCAAAGGTTCGTTATTAAGGTTGCCTTAAATCTGGAGAAAATATCGGTTGTTTAGCTTCCCCAAGTAATTTTTGATTTTAATATGAGTAAAAGAGTATAAGTATAAATCATTGGTTCAATTGTTTGATTCTATGGAGAAATACGAACAGCTAGGTTCTAAATCCTGTGAATGGGACATCACTTTTGAATCGAAGTATCTGCTTTGTAGACATAAACGAGTGTGCCACTGGACAGAATGAGTGTCACGGCTACGCATTGTGCACGAATACCTACAGTAGTTATGTGTGCCGTTGTTTGAAAGGATATCGGGGAGATGGCCGCACATGCGAAGGTAAAGATGTTTTTTGACATCATTCATGTCAAAGTCGCAACTGACTGTTATGAACGATTACTCGTGGGACGAAACAACAAACGATAAATCAGACTAAACTCTGAAGCAAGCTTCCCCTAAACGATATGGCTAGAAGGTCTTTCACTTCATTTCATGTACTGATGGAATGGAACTTTCGTGAATCATAGAGAAGTCACACTTGGAGGTAAATTTCCGGGTATGATTTAGCGACCGTTGCCCAGGATCTCTGCTTATTTCTTACAATTTGTTTCTGATTGCAGATATTAATGAATGTGACGAAGGAACGGCGGATTGCGTTAACGGAGCCGAATGTATAAACGTAAATGGAAGCTACACATGTCAATGTCCCGTGGGATTTCAAAAGACTGCTGACAACTGTACAGGTGTGCAAAACTTAAATCGAGATTTACATGTATGTACATCCCTCTCACAGCTGCAATGCAAGGCATTTAACCCCCCTCCCCCCCCCCTCCAAGTCCAAGTAGTGTTCCGAGGATCAATCCTTCTACAAAATTCCTCTGAAGGACGTTAAATCTAGTCTCACCTAACTAAATTTCCATTTTCGGGAATGAAATTTTGAAACTCCTCTGCGTTGTTTTACTTTTATAAAGATATCGACGAATGTCAAACACCAGAGTCTCACAACTGCGATGTTAATGCGCTTTGTACAAACATAGAAGGTTCATATGTGTGCCGCTGCAAGAAAGGATACGAAGGAGATGGAAGTCAATGCATAGGTAAGTTCTTCTACAATAAAAATTATATTATTGTACGGCTGATGTAATAGTTTTTTTTTTTAATCGCGTAAATCTTGCCTTAGATATTGACGAATGTTCCGTCGGTTCAGTCAACTGTGGCCCGGGAGGTGAATGTATTAATTCCAACGGAAGCTTTACTTGCCAATGTCAGGAGGGATATCAGAAGTCCGGAAACAACTGCATAGGTAAGGCATGTTTTACCTTTATGTTCTGTGTATCAAACCTGAATACTTGCCACTACAAAACAGGACAGTGGCCGATTTTGTTACAGGGTAGCGGCAGACACCGTCTACAATATGCTGCACAGCGAAATTAGTAATGTAAACAATATGCCCACCGGGTTGTGTGGGAGAAAGCAGATGCTTTTCATTTTAGAGAAGATTGTAGAAGAGTATGTATTTGTATTACTCAGATATCGACGAATGCAGTTCACCTGGCTCCAATCAATGCAACGTAAATGCGATGTGCACCAATACCGAGGGCTCATATGTCTGCCGCTGCAAGAAAGGATTCAAAGGCGACGGAGTAACTTGCACGCGTAAGTTAACCAGAGTTTTTTAATGGGGCTTTTATAAATTGATCTCAAGGTGCTGACCGCCATAAATGAGTAAACCATACTGTACTATTGTTCTTTTACAGTAACAGAACCTCCGTTCATCTGTATCCCCGTATGTGACGTCAACGCTGAGTGCAAGAACTTTACAGGAACTCCTAGCTGCATGTGCAAGGCGGGGTTTGATGGCGATGGTGTCAAATGTAAAGGTTAGTAATCATCTCTACTCTCATGCGGAGCTAAAAAGTGTGTGGAGAAGAAGATGATGGTAAAAATGTTTCTAATTTACATAGGTAGCTCTTTCAAACAATCCTGATAGGTGTTATGTTTCCTTCTCAGATGTTGATGAGTGCGTTTCTCCAGACTTAAACCAATGTCACAAAAATGCGATGTGCACCAATACCGAGGGCTCATATGTCTGCCGCTGCAAGAAAGGATATAAAGGCGACGGACTGACTTGCACTCGTAAGTCTCGAGATAATGATAACGTTTTCTTTCCCGTCTTTGAATTTGGACTCTACTTTGAAGCTAGGTGGTGCTTCCTGTGTGAAAACAGATGCCATTGTTACAAGATGTGGTTTCTTAGAGTGGCTCCCGTTCGAATACTTTCGATTCTCAGTTAATGAACGACCTCTCAGTCGAACCACGACGAGGTAACGAGCGTTATATTCCCCCACAAACAAATGAAAGGCTCGATAGTTATTATAGTTTTAAATTTGGACTATTATTTGTAAAGTTATTGGTAAGAAGGAATAACTTCTGTCACTATACTCTATCTTCAGCGGTGGAACCATCATTCAAATGCGATCCTTTGTGCGATGTCAATGCTGTATGCAAGAACTCTACAGGAGAACCAGAGTGCATGTGTAAGGCGGGGTTTGATGGCAATGGAACCACATGCATTGGTTAGTATAAATGTTTTTGTGTGCCAATACAGTATTCAAATCTTATTGTGCATGGCACTGGTGGACGATACCGTCCTAAATACGGTAACTATTTTTTCACGCCTATTTTCCCTTTTTATTGGTTAAAATTAACACTTCTGTCCAGAAAAGCACGCGAAAACGAAAACAACAGATTTGACGAAATTTCGTCAAATCGAGTGAATGTTTATAGATTTGACGATCATGGCGAATCTTAGTCAAATGCGTCGAAGCGAAATCAGCTTGGCGGAATTAACGACTTTGACGAATTTTTAGTCAAATTCCTCAAAACGGAATTAGCTTGGCGAATTTGACGATTTTGACGATTTTTCGCCATTTTTGTTACTGCATGCATTTCTGGACATTTCTCAGAATTGGTAATGATTCAATGCCGCTCCTTCTTTTCCACGATAGGGAATTTGGTTTTGGATCGAGTAATAATCCCCTGATTGGTATTTGTATTTATTCTCATCACTTGTCTGCATGATATTGTATTGATAGTGTAAGGAGAAATTCTGTCTTGGTCACCTATGGGGGTGAAAGGGTTAAGGAATCTTAAAAATGAATAATTTCTTGACAAATGTGCGTCGTCTCCATCGTCAACTACAGATACAGACGAATGTGCAAGTACTGAAAGAAACAGCTGTGACCTGAATGCACTTTGTACCAACACAGACGGCTCCTACGTTTGTCGCTGTCTAAAAGGATTTTCAGGAGATGGGAAATTTTGCAGACGTAAGTTTCCTCGAAGTCGGTTGCCAAATTGTACAGAAAGATTTTAATACTTTCGCCTCTTGAGCTTATTTACTTTTTTATGGCCTCGCTTACCACGGCTATCTCGACCTACAGCCTGGCCATTTTAGTCATAATATGTAATTTAGAACTCCTCCTGTCTGTACACTATGAAAGAACTGAAGCAATTGCACAATCCTTGCCCCGCCTCAACCAGAAAGAGAGATTTTGGCGTTTGCACAACAAGTCAATTCGTTTGATGATGTGGGGAGTATATTAGCTTCAGGACCAATAACCAATGACAAGTTTTTAATTACTTTCCTTAGGGATAGAAGGGGTTGCTTGCAACCCTCCTTGTACCGGAAACAAAGTGTGTCAAAATTTCACTGGAGTTCCAGACTGCATGTGTGCTGATGGATTTAGTGGTGAAGACAATTGCACAGGTATACATACTGCATCCATGCTAATGTACACTAATGCCCTGTACGGTAGCTTTTTAAGCTCTCCTTGTACCGAAGAATTCACGAATAACCTTATAGTCAGGAAGGAAAACTATCCAGCTGAACTTCGTAGACAACGCAACATATTTCGGCAGATGCGTGAACAACCTCCCCACCCATTTTTGTCTTCATCCAATTCTTCCTTTTCTAAAATTTTAAAACAAACCTATGTTTCGTTCACTCTAGATGTTGACGAATGTGCAGAAGAAGGCAACAACGAGTGTGACCCTAACGCCCTTTGCACCAACACAGAGGGATCTTATGTTTGTCGCTGTCTAAGAGGGTTTGAAGGAGATGGCCGAAGCTGTGTAGGTGTGTAGCCAAATTGTAGCCAATACCGGTAATAAAATGTCCTTCGAGAAGTCGATTTTCCCACTAACAATGAACAAACAATTTTAGCCGTCACACCGATATGCTCTCCACCCTGTGGTCCAAACTCGTTCTGTCAGGAAGGGTTGTGTGTGTGCGATTCTGGTTTTCAAGGTGACGGATACAACTGTAAAGGTTTGTGGAACAAAATGCTCTTTTTGTTATCAGTGTCCATATCTATCTAAATCTTTGTTTTCTTTTACATTCACAGATGTTAATGAATGTGCGAGTCCAGACACAAACGGATGTGATCGTAATGCTCTGTGCACCAACATTGAAGGATCTTATATCTGTCGCTGTCTAAAGGGATATCAAGGGGATGGCCGCTTTTGCGCAGGTAAGGACATTCACCAACCTTAAATTCAACCCATAGGATTATCAAAGGTTCTTTTTATAATGATTCAGTCAGGGAATTGAAATTCTCTGTTTCCTCTGATTATTAACCAAAAGATGCCGATGAATGTTCAAGTCCTGAACACGATTGTCACTCCGACGCTATTTGTAACAACACTGAAGGCTCCTATGTCTGTCGCTGTTTAAAAGGGTTTACTGGCGACGGTAAAAACTGCACAGGTAAGGTTGTTAGTTGTGCGAGTTTTATCTTGTTGGAATTTTGTAACACAAAGCTCTCAACAAAAGCCAAGGTTTATCAAAAGCTTGCCGAGAACGTTTTTTTATCAATAATACGGAGGCTAAGGTGCCTCACGCCTAGTAGCCGTCTGATTTACAATAAACTGAGTTCTCGGTTTTTTCGAACATTTCTATTGAACCTATTAACCCCCAAAAACTTATTGTTAATTCTCCGCTTTAGCTGCTACATGTTTCCTTGTAAATAACTTATTAGAATCTGGTGTTAGATCAAGATAACGACTTCTCCCTGATATGTTTGAGTATTCTCATACCTGTTTGCCGGATAGTGTATAGATATTATAGGGAGAAATTACATGTTAATCACTTTTGCGCGTTAAGGAGTTAACAGTTATTGCTATTAATGGAGCAACTTTCAAAACACTAGTTGAGCGTGCTATTAACTCATCAATAGGCTTTTTTTTTCTTTCCCATGGGTGACTAACTAAAAGGCCGCTGCTTTTCCTACTGCTTTATTTTATCTGTAAGCCTTTGCTTGAATTTTGTAGATTTGGACGAGTGTGCAACAATTGGGGCAAACGAATGCGACCCAAATGCTTTGTGCACCAACACTGATGGCTCATTTTTGGGTCTTTTTGACTGTGACTCATGCAACAAGTCATCTTTTTCAGATGTAATGCCTTTCATTTGTAATTTTAAAAATATTTTGTGTAATCCTAGACGTAAACGAATGCACCGAGGAAAATCAAAACGATTGTGATCCCAACGCTCTTTGTACCAACACCGAGGGATCTTATGTTTGCCGCTGCTTGAGAGGATATCAAGGAAATGGAAGAAATTGTACAGGTATTTACTGTCCTTTATTGATGGATTTTGTTATTGTTTTTGTTTTGAGGCTGTTTTTGTTTGTGTGCCCATCATTGGTTGACTGGATTTGTGGATTAGTTTTCCATTTGCGTTTTCAGTTGTCGTTCCCGGCTGTTCTCCTTCATGTGGGTCGAATGCTTTTTGTCAACAAGACGATGGACTCTCTTACTGTGAGTGTAATTCTGGTTACCAAGGCGATGGCTACAGGTGCACAGGTATGCTGTTACGTTCTTTCCAGCTGAACCAGTGTTCATATTCTCGTATGCTGTACAAAAAGAAACCGTTTCTTTAAATTTCGTAGATGTACTTAACTTTCAAATATTCTTATAGACCTCAAATTAAAATCGAACGCGCTTTTTGAAAGATTTTTGGAAACACCAAGTCATAAACCCTCTTAGTTGCTTTGAAGGTGTTGCTTTTGGTGGTAAGAGAGGAAAGTCAGAAGGTTTTTTCGGAACCAACAATCTTTGACTTGGCCAAGTTACGCTCGCTAATATAATGACTGTTTTTCTTCTCTATTGCAGATGTTGATGAATGCTTACTTTCTGAAGCCGCTAGCACATGTCACTCAAGCGCGCTATGCACCAACACAGAGGGATCTTATCTGTGCCGCTGTCTAAGAGGATACGTTGGCGATGGAAGAAACTGCACAGGTACAGTGAACGGTTTTAGTCAACGTCTGTTTCATACTTGTGATAGGAAAGAAAATCATTTCTTTGCTTGTATGGCTGCTTCAGTTCGTATTTTGTAATGAAACTCAGATATTAACGAGTGTGAAAGACCTGAAAACAACGACTGTGACACCAACGCGCTGTGTACTAACACCGAGGGCTCGTACGTGTGTCGCTGCTTTAGAGGTTTCAGTGGAGATGGTAAAACATGTGAAGGTAAGACGACATTGTTTTCGCTTTGTCATTCTTTTTTTTTTTTTGTTTATAATGAACCGAAAGACTATTTTAAGAACAAATCAAGTACCAAATAAGAAATAGTTCAAGTAACATCGTTAGCTAAGCACTAATGGTGCATAATTTTGATTAGTATTATTGATAAAAGAAATACTCTTTCATACAGAAATAGAAGAGATCGTTTGCGACCCACCCTGTACTGGAAACAAAGTTTGTCAAAATTACATTGGATTTCCAGAATGTGTGTGTACAGATGGCTTTAGCGGGGAAGACTTTTGCACAGGTAAACTGGACCAACCACACCTCACATGATCCGTAGATAATACCCAGCAAATTGAGAGAGCTTTGTGGCGGAATGCGCAAATGACAAAAAAATAGGAGTTTGAATCACACTATAAATTGTGTATTTTAAAAATGATTCCAAAACCGTTGTGAACCAACTCCTTCCAAGGTAGTTTTTGGCTTTGCTTCAATTAAACCGTTCAGACAAGATCACTTGTAATCCATTCGATAAAGCAAGTTTGGCGCTTACGCTTAGTATAGTCCTTCCCTTTTTGCACACTAATTTTCAAATAAGGACAGGATTTAAGTCCTTGGGAAAAACTCTTAAATAAGTATCCACGTGTAGTTAAAACTTAAGTAACATAGAGTTCTCGCGCGCTGTCGTCGCGCAGTGATAACTATGGTATATTACTTCTACTACCCAGAAGATTACCAAGATACCAACCCAAAATAAAGTCACGAACGAAAAGCCCCTTGCATCCATGATTTAATTCTGAATTCAAGTGTTGTTGCTCTTTTAGATATCGATGAATGTACCGATAAGGACCGAAACGATTGTGATCCAAACGCTCTTTGCACCAACACTGAAGGGTCTTACGTATGTCGCTGTTTAAAGGGATATGAAGGCGACGGCAGAAATTGCACAGGTATGTAACGTTCGTGATACAGAGGGATTCAATCTTTGATTGTTCTTTAAGCATCGTGTTTACTTTAGGTGTTTCAAATATTTTATCAGTGTTTCCTGGCTGTTCTCCTTCATGCGGCCCAAATGCTTTTTGTCAGGGAAGAGGTGAATTTGCGTTCTGTGATTGTAGAGCTGGTTACCTTGGTGACGGATATAACTGCAGTGGTAAGTTTTTGATAATACTAGGAACATGGTCACGTTCTTTGTACTGCTCTATTTCCTAAGAATTGCAACTTTGTGTTCCTTTCGGAAGAACTGTTTACACAGAATATAGGGGTTGATTAATTTAAGAACAATTAAAAACATCTGGCGGGATCTCGACAACTGACCTCTTTCTGACCATCAGTTACGGACCAGTCTCATTGAAATGCCACCCTGTTAAGTATTCAGAGTGGAAATATCTTTCGGTCCCTTCTTCATCTGGTTTAGGGGGCGATTGTGTACTTTGTAAATTGCTTTATCGATAAAATGACTCCGGCACATCTCCTGTAACAAAATCGAGTTTTCAGAAACAACAATATCATTAACCGTTCGTGCCTTTTTTTTATTTTCTTGTCATCTGAAAAAGTCTTTTTTTCACTGTTTAACTGACTTTGATTCTCCCTTTAGACATTGACGAATGTGCAAGTTTTGAATTAAATAACTGTGACGTGAACGCCTTGTGCACAAATACTGAGGGTTCTCATATCTGTCGCTGTTTAAGGGGCTACGTTGGAGATGGAAGAAACTGTAGAGGTATAAATCTTTGACCACAACACTCTTAACCTAAAGTAGATTATATTGATTCCTTGCCCTTTGGTCCTATATATTCCTTATTTCATTTCCAGATGTAGACGAATGCGCTAACGAAGACGAAAATGATTGTGGTCCAAACTCTCTTTGTACAAACACTGAAGGTTCCTATATCTGTCGCTGTCTAAAAGGCTATATTGGAGATGGTAAAAATTGTTCAGGTCAGCAAAATATTAAGTTAGAGGATGCTTTCTTACTTGAGATTTTCATAGTTTTCCCGTTACCCAAAATAACGTCAGCTACCAATTTGCAGACATCGACGAATGTGTTGATGAAGGCAAAAACGATTGTCATCCAAACGCCCTTTGCACTAACACCGAAGGATCTTACGTTTGTCGCTGTTTGAGAGGATACGAGGGAGATGGAAGAAAATGCACAGGTATCTACAACTTTATACTCTAACTGTTTATTTTTTGAGTATCTCATCCATAACTATAACTTGATATTTTTTTCCTAATCAGGGTAATTGGCCAATTACTCTGACGTAGGGCTAACGCTCGAAACCTTAGCCTTGTAGCTCTTTACGGTGGCCAATTTACGTTATCAACTCAGTTGACAACACTAAATTACTCTGTTATACTCTCCCACCGACGCAGCATCATAGTTTCTTTAGAAATTTACCCTCTTTATTTATTTCCTAATCAGCCGTTGTACCAACCTGTTCTCCATCTTGTGGGCCAAACGCTCAGTGTCTAGGAGGGGCGTGTGTCTGTAATTTTGGTTTCCAAGGGGACGGATACAACTGCTCTGGTAGGTGTCAGGAAAGAAATCTCGACTGCATTGGTCTTAGTATTAGTAAACTTAGAAATTGGATACAACCAAGAAGATCAACTTTAGTTCTCATTAATTTTTGGTCATTTCAAAGTAATAGTGAAAGATGTATTTTCGTCATGTCACGAGCGTGGGACAAAGAAAAAATGAGCGTTAAAACGTTAAAGAAAATGTAAGAAACGTCAAAGTAGTTAGTGTGATGTGAACCCCTTCTTGTCTTAAACGCTATTGCTGCTTAATAAAGTCACTTTGATATAAAAATATGCAATCCTGTGTGAAACCATTGCTTGGTCGCCTTACTACTCACCTCATCTTACACTACTTCGTTAGTCATTCTGCAACCCGAGGGAGAACCAGTTCGCTTTCTAGATAGTACACTGCCTTAACACTCTAAGCAGTCAGTAGACCTCAGCTGAGCTGAGACGATTTAGGATAATGGCTTACGATTCAACATTAAAACATTGTTGGTTAATGATATCAATGCATATTCGTCAAATTCAAATCTTCCTAAACCTAAATAAAGTTTTCTTTGTATTGTTGATCTTTAGATGAAGATGAGTGTGCTTCATTGGAAACCAACGCATGTGACTCAAACGCTCGTTGCACCAACACATACGGCTCGTATGTCTGCCGTTGTTTAAAGGGTTATGTAGGGGATGGAAGGAGATGTTCAGGTACCGAGACAAAAAAAATATTTATTTGGAAAGTGTGATCTACCCTTGCCCCTGTGATCTCATTAAAAATAGGTACATCTCATGCGTTAACAATTGTGGGCATTAAATAATTTTTTCACAGACTTAGATGAATGCAGAAGTGCTACGATTAACGATTGCGATCCCAACGCTTTGTGTACCAACACGGAAGGATCCTATGTGTGTCGCTGCTTTAAAGGTTTCAGAGGAGATGGTAAAACGTGTACAGGTAGATTTGTGACTTTAATCATTTATTGTAACATGAACGATCTGATCAGCGATTCTTTAAGCCGTTGTACCTCTTCTTTATCGGCATTCGTCTACAAAGTTCTCCTCTCCTCTTCGCCGCGTGTTTGCAGGAAATAGCACAGTGAATTATGGAGAAGTTGTTTGGATCTTCTTTTTTTCATTTTAAAATTAAATTGCGATTTCGACACAGTTGCACTGAGTCTACCTATTTTTCATATTCTTTATGTATAATATTATCTCGTATTACTCAACTGCAGAAGATTTCTCTTGCGACCCGCCTTGTGGTGAAAACAGAGTTTGTCAGAACTTTACTGGAGTAGCTGAATGCGTGTGTGTAGGCGGTTTTGCTGGAGAAGATAACTGCACAGGTGAGCCCTTGCCTTATTTCCTTAAAACTAAAGCTAGGCAGGAATCTTCGTAGCATTTGGGTCGAGTTAAATTCACAATCAGTAGGAACAAATGCATTTCGAGTGACAGTGGCATGTTTGCTAGAAAAATGATAGTACCCTCGTTGAGTAGGTAGGATGGGCAAAATTGACATACATTGCTAGGCAAGTCAAGTTGTATTTTTTTTCTTTTTAGTAACTTATAAATTAACCTTTCTTGTGTTTCTTCGATTTAAAATAGATATTGATGAATGTGCCAGTGCAGATACAAACGACTGTGGCCGTCTCTCGTTTTGCACCAACACCGAGGGATCTTATGTGTGTCGCTGCCTCAGAGGGTACCAAGGGGACGGGGAACGTTGTATAGGTATATTTTTGTTGTGATGGTTGTGACTGTTGTTTTGAAATGTTTATCAAATGTAAAATCACAAATCAGTTGACCCGGTTAGCGAAGCTAGCCTATCGAGTTTTTTTTTTTTTTTTAACCTGTTTAACTGTACAGGTGGTCTTGCCGAACCATAACCCCTTAGTGTAGTAGTGGTGAATAATTCAATTTTACTCGGCAACAGATGTTGATGAATGTGCAAATGCTGATGGTAACGACTGTGACACCAATGCCCTGTGCACGAACACTGAAGGATCTTACGTCTGCCGCTGTATTCAGGGATATGAGGGAGATGGACTGGACTGTATCGGTTGGTTATAATATAAATATTACTGTGTTATTAAATTTTAGAAAGAAAGCACTACATGAAGATCTTCTGACAGAGGCCGAAGGAGTTTTCTATCCGGCGACTTGAAAAAAAAAATTGGAACGATTGAACATGCCTTATTTTTATCTTGATTTATCATGCTTCTTTGATGTGCTTATCATTAGAATACACTGTTTGGAAAAGATTAAGAACATATTAATTTGACGAAAGACTAAGCTAGTTAAATCAGTCGATCAATCGTTCATTTACCCATGTACCGATTGGTGAGCTGGAAAGCTCGATCAAAATACATACGTTTCCAATGAAATATTTATTTACGCCATCCTTTCAAGATATAACTTGCAGATACTGACGAGTGTGCAAGCTCTGAATCTAATGAATGTGATTGCCCCTCAGATTATGTACTGAATTTTTTTTTGTTTTGTCCATTCACATAAAAGTATCAAGTTTTAATTTGTTGTATTTACCGTTACAGATTCCAATGAATGCAAGAATTCTGAAACAAACAGTTGCCATTTGAACGCCCTATGTACTAATACGGAGGGCTCTTACGTTTGCCGCTGTTTAAGAGGTTATAGGGGAGATGGCACGAATTGTATAGGTACAGTGCAAATCACTGGCTCAGTGTTATTTATGCTGATATGTAATGTATAGTGGGGGAACTGATGCAAGTTAATGGAGCTTGTTCATGTAGAAAAGTAATTATTTGCAGTGGGATGCTTATTACGTTTACTGGTAAGTCTAGGGGGGGGGCTACCTCAAGGCGTTTAAAACTGTTTGCCAAACATGAGACATTCTCTGATCAGTTTAAGCTACGATGTAGTTTTAGGTTATCGTAATATAACATAAAAATTAAAGTAATCTTCGCTGGTGATGTTGTAGATGTTGATGAATGTGCGAATGTTGAAACCAACGAGTGTGACTCCAACGCTCTGTGTACGAACACTGAAGGATCCTACGTCTGTCGCTGCTTCAAAGGATATGAAGGGGACGGCAGGAATTGCGCAGGTACTGGTAACAAATTCAGTTGTTTTTAACGTGAAGTGAACTGGGTTTAATACTCTGTTAGTCGAACAATTTTTTTTAACAGAAGTAAAATGATTCGAATAATCTTTTTGCTTGCACTTCGTTTGATTTTCCATTTTCCATTTTAGACATTGATGAATTTGCGAATGAAATCGAAAATAACTGTGATCCTAACGCCCTATATACCAACAGCGAATGCAAAGGTAGACACAGGGGTGTCGTCCAATCACTTTTCTGTAATCAAATTGACTTCTTTAATTGAGTTTGATCCCGCTTTTTGTTCGATCGCTGCAGATGTTGATGAGTGTGCAAGTCCTGATAATAACGATTGTCATTCCAACGCACTTTGCACCAATACTGAAGGTTCTTATGTTTGCCGATGTCTAAGAGGGTACAGTGGTGATGGGAAAAATTGCTCAGGTAAATCTTTGTCTTTGGCAGGATGGAACGTAAAATATTCTTGTACTTAGAATCCCCAAGAAAGAAGACATTACGTCATATTATTCAATCCTTCGAGCTATATAAAGACCTTGAACTTTGATAAGGTCGATTTGAACTGCTTTTCGTTGTTCTTAGACATTGATGAATGCACAATTCCTGAAAGAAACGAATGTGATGCCAACGCCCTGTGCACTAACATCGAGGGGTCCTATGTGTGTCGATGTGTCAGGGGGTATGCTGGAGACGGAATAAACTGTTCAGGTACAGTGATCTACCCGAAAAGTATATGTACATGAATTTATAAAGGAGCTGGTATGGTATATGAAAGAGGTATTGCGGGGAACTAGACTTGATTTTATGATGATCAGCGTGGAACCCTCAGTCGGAAAGTCACAGTTCCTCTGCCCAGTAGTACAAAGGTTCAACAGAGAAATTGTGTAGGGATACCCTGTAACATGTGCAAGGGGATTTGTGGAAGGTGTCAGTGGATAAATTTATTTTCATTAGCATTCCATGCATGGAGACTAGCAGTACTTTCATGTTATGAAAACCTGGGAAGAGCTTTACTAAAGTGGGTCACTTGGGCGTGTTTGTAAATGTCTAATTGTCTACTCACCAGAACAGCAAAGGATGGAGCAAAAAGAAGACCTGTGTAGAGATAGATTTAGGATGTTTGGAAATGTAAAGCATATATTACGCTTAAAACACATCGCAATCGTTTATTTGAAAATGAATTTTCGTACCTCTAGATATCGATGAATGAATCCTGACAATTTAGCTCTGATTCTTTTTGAGCCATAGGCTTCCAAATAATCACCAGTTGCCTTCAACATTTAATTTCATATATTTTTTGATCCAGACATTAATGAATGCGCACGTGACGACGATAACGAGTGTGATGTCAATGCTCTCTGCAGCAACACAAAAGGATCTTACGTTTGTCGCTGTTTTCAAGGCTACAGGGGTGACGGGCGGTTTTGCACTGGTATTTTAGGGCGTTAATGGTTAAAATAATTACCATGTTATGTAGATTAAAGAAAACTCTCATCCAACGATCGCTCAAAAATCGTTTTTTGCTAAAATAGATGTTGACGAGTGTAATACTACTGAATCAAACCAGTGTGATCCAAACGCCTTATGTAATAACACTGAAGGATCCTATACCTGCCGATGTCGGAGAGGGTATATGGGAGATGGAACAAAGTGTACAGGTAAAATGTGATACTTGGGAGATTCTCTTAGTAAACAGATCATCAGTTATCGTTGGGATCATATATGTTTAGTTGTAAGGGAGTATATCCATGGAATGGCATGGGATGCTCGGACTTGAGCCCTTATTTATCTTTGGGATTGGTAAAGGAGGTGCTTCAACGTTTCTCTCTTTATCTTGACCAATTAGCAATTAAATTGGTCATTTAAAGCGAGTCTATTTCATTCATAAATTTTTGCGTTATTTCTCCTAACCAATGTGGTTTTCTTTGGTCGAGCTGAGGTTAACTTAACTCGTTACAGAAAATGACACAAAACTTTTTATAGCCCTGAAAGTAACGAGTGTAACTAAAATGCTTTCTGCAGAAACTACCTTGGGTTATAAATGTAGATCCAGGGTGTTCATATCATATCCATTATGAAATTCATTTTTTATTACTTTTTTTAGATATCGACGAATGCTCAAACGATGAAAATAACGAGTGTGACCCCAATGCTCTATGCAGCAACAGCGAGGGGTCATACATCTGTCGGTGTCTGAAGGGTTACAATGGAGATGGAAGACAATGTATAGGTGTGAAAAAGTATAAACGGTTCTTTAGTCAAACTTAACACCTTTCGCCTTCCTCGTACGCAATATGTAAACACAAATCATTCGTGTTTAACCCTTAAATCCCAATATCTTATTTTTAATTTCCCAACTGCTACACATTTCACTGTACATTCGTTAGAGGATTTTGGGATTAGATCAAGATAACAACTTCTACCTGATAAGTGTGAGTATTCTCAGAACCTGTTTGCTGGATAATGTTTGGGTATTAGAGGGAAAGTTTACGTGTAAGTCGCTATCAGGAGTTAAAAGGGTCAATTCCTTATTCCTCCTATGACCTCGGAGAAAATGGAGTTCATCCAACAGCTAAGGATAGCTATGGGTATCATATGTCAAAAATCTCTTTCCTAGCAAATTTTAATTCTTGCTTATTTACGACTGCCCTAGAAATAATATGTGCTCAATAGGACTTCTATATAACTTTAGATATCGACGAATGCAGCGATCCTGAATTAAACCAATGTCATGCCAACGCTGTGTGCAACAACACTGAGGGATCGCATGTCTGTCGCTGCAACAGTGGATATCAGGGCGATGGCAAAAATTGCACAGGTGAAAACAATGCTATACCATTTGTAAGCGCTAGAACCTATTTTTTAATCATAACCACATAATCCTTACATGGTTAGGGAGGGCGCGGTGGTGGTCTTGTGGTAAGGGCAGGGGCGAGAGGTCAGGGTCCTTGCGTGTTTTTTTTTCTCCGCAAGATACTTTGCCCATCTGTTCTCAAGAGTATGGGTGCGTATTATTAAAATTTTTAGGAGAGGAACAGAGGAACTATGAAAGGGTTGCTTGCAGTGAACTTGAATGCCATTCACCGGGAGTAGTAACATTTCAGATCCTATGCTTTGAAATTCGGAATAAGCTCCTAGATGTACATGACCACTAGATTCATAAGATCTAGCACGAAAGAAAGACATGATAGTTCGCCTAAATCAATTTATTGCTACTCTAAATTTTTAGCCGTTCTACCTGGTTGTTCTCCATCTTGCGGTCCAAACGCATTTTGTCAGGATAGCGATGGATTTCCTAAATGTGTATGCAATGCTGGTTTCCAGGGAGACGGTTTTAACTGTATAGGTAAATTTTACACTGCTATTTGAAATATTTATTTTTGTCTTTGCCATTTTGCTTGTTCAACGCAGAATTATATTGATTAATGCAATGAGTTATTTGCAACGAATGATTCATTTTTCTTTACCGTTGCTGTAGATCTGGATGAGTGCGAGAATTCTGATCTAAACGAATGCAATTCCAATGCTCTCTGTACAAACGCGAAAGGTTTCTACATCTGCCGTTGTCTTAGAGGATACGAGGGAGATGGCAGATTTTGCGAAGGTGCGATCATATTCCTAAATGTATTTATCTTCCCATTGTTACCGTCAAACCAGTAAAATTCGAGCTTCGTGTACTTGCTTTTTTATAGAAGTTTTAGTTGGATACAATACTAGCTTAGACATCTTTCGTCACATCAGTCATAAAGCTTTAAAAATCTTACCAATCTAATAGATCTTCACTTCGACTCCACAGTATGAGCCAATTAGGGGTATGACAATGTACTTCTCCTAAGAGGGATACTAGTTTATGTCGCATGACCTACCGAAATTTTGTTAAGTTTTTTGACCGCTTGCTGGGTACCTATGAATATTCATTGGAGACAAGTACGATGAAAGTTAAGTGGCGTGCCCCAGAAATATATAGCTCATGAAGGAGCTTGAACCCAGAACTTTCCATTTGGGGTATTAAGCAGTTTTCAAATATGTGTCGAAAGTAATCTATGAACCCTTTAAATTTGCTTAACTTCGTTTTGTGATTGGTCCAAAAAACTGGCGCCAACTTCTCAACCAATCAGATTCAAAACTAAAAAAACAATTACGATTTGGCCACCCGCGTTTTCCCGCGTTTCATGCTCTTTGCCTGTTTTTACTTTGAATTCTCATTGGCTAACGCTGATGTCGACCTCCGTTCTGATTGGCTATTGTGATTTCTTTGGTTTTGGTTGTGGTTTTTGAAACTTATTTGAAAACTGCTCTAATTCCGGAACAAATCACCAAATAACCATTACTCACCCCATCAGTCATTGTTAAAGTTTTGAAACGCAGATATTGATGAATGTGTAAATGCTGAGTCAAATAACTGTGGAGCTAATGCCCTATGCACCAACACGAACGGATCATACTCTTGCCACTGTAAAGCTGGTTACCAAGGAGACGGAGTGAACTGTACAGGTGATAAGATAACGAAACGTCAGCTTTGAAACTCATTATGGTGGCAAATTTACATTATCAACTCGTTTAATAAAACTAAAATTATCTTGTACTCTTATACTCCCCCATCGACGCAGCACCACTGTTTCCTTAGAAACTTACCCCCTGTATTCACTAGAAGAGGTGATAGTCTACTCTTTGATGAAAGCATTATTCTATCAGTGATTTTCTTCCTTGAAATGTGCCGAGCATTAATATTGAGGACATACAACCTGTAGGAACTATAAAAAATGTCTCATTACTGCTACAATTATGATAATCACAAGTAAAGAACAAGGATTTAGCCAAGAAGTGTTGTCAATTTAAAACCAGTCTTACAGTTTTCTGTATTTTGATGTATGTAGATATTGACGAGTGTGCCAGAAACGATACCAACGAATGCGATCCCAATGCATTGTGTACTAACACTGAAGGATCCTACATTTGTCGCTGCCTCACTGGATACATTGGGGACGGCAGACGTTGTAAAGGTGATTAAACTTAAAATATCATAGTAAAAGAAACTGTCCCACCACACCTCAAACTCAGGTGAGCCTTTTTCTCCCGTACTACAATTGTTATGCTATGATTCCGATTATTTGGTTATTTTCTGCCGTAGTTCAAGGCTGTGATCCGAAATGCGGCAACAATTCTTACTGCCTCGAGGATGATTTCTTTCCTTATTGTTCATGTTCAAGTGGATACACTGGGAATGGCGACAATTGCACAGGTTTAATTTGTATATATATATTTTTTTGTATTTAGTGTTCTCTTTGATCATAGGTTTGTTAATTTTATTGTGATAATTCCAACGTATTTTATTTATCAGTGAGTCTTCTCTGAGTAATTGGAGGGTCTTTTTCGTTCACTCATGGTAAAGTGAATTGTAATTTGTTGTGATAAGGACATCTTTGTTGTTTTCTTGGCAAGCAATTTAGTCATCGTTTTGTACCCTCACCATACTTCCTAATGCGCTGATCAATTTAATTCTTCCTGGACAACCCACGGGCATTTGACTATCGTCCGTGTTGCTGAGATTGGGAGAACCGAAAACTAATACGTGACTTTGCTAAATTCTAAAACATTCGTTGATCGCAC